TCCACGGAGATGAGTGTAAAGGGCATTCTGAAAAGAAGGAACAACACGACCAAACATATAGAGACTGGATAATAAAGATTATTTGGAAAAGGAAGGAAAGTGAAAGGAAGGGAAATGAGTATTTACTGAATGTCCACATGTTCCAAAAGCTGTAATAGGTACTTTCATGTGTTATATAACTCACAAAAACTTTTTAAGTTATCATTATCCCCTATTACAGTGAAGATAAGTGTACATCAGTGAGTTACCTAATATCCACATTTTGCAGATAAGAAGTCTGACTAGAGAACAGTCTTGTCTAAGAGGAATATACAAGATATGCATGCATGTAAGAAGAAGCTAAAAAGGTTACTAAATTACAGAAGCTGTTGATTGCTGTATTAGTTCTCTAGACTGTATCATAGCAGGCACAGGTTGCATTTTCATCTGGAGATACAACTACGAAAGAATCAGTTTCCCAATCACAGAGTTTTTGGCAATATTCAGTTTTTTGCAACTGTGAGACTGAACATCAGTGCTTTTGCTGACTATTGGCCAGAAGCCACCTTGTGCTCCTAATCGTCCTCAGCTCCTTGAGAACCTCTGCAGTTCTTTGTCATGTGGGTATCCCTATTGTGGCCACTTACTTCATCATGACACCAAGAAGCATCTTTATGGTGATTACACCGCAAAACATAACATAATCATGGCAATAACATGCCATCATCATTGCCACATACTGTAGGTCAGGAACCAAGTACAGATCAGATTCTGCTCACATGTAAGAGAAGGGAGTAATACAAAGGCATGGAGACTGGAGATAAAAAAGAAAATGAACACCCATTTGTGGAGGTCAATTAGGGACACCCTAGAATCTGTCTACCATAATTAACATCATGATAAAACCAAGATTCAGTTCAATACAATAGGAATTCATTAAAGATTGTTAAGAGAATGAAATGATCAAAATTGTGCTGAAAGAGAAAATATGAGTTTGCTTCCAAATAGAAATAATATTAAAGAAATAGAACTTGAAGGTGTTCTTGATTAGTTTTTCAATGTTGGGCCATAGCTCATAGGATACCTAAAATCATTTTCCTCTAGCCATTTGTAAGTTGAAGGGCACCATGAGTTATCTATGTGATACTCACCCTAATGAAGGTTAATGAAGAATTAACACCATCTCCTTCCAGAGTGTCCCAATGGCAATAAATGACAAGAATAAGAAAAGCAATAAAGAGAAATAGCACATTCCCTTGAGAGACACCTGGTTGCTAAGATGTATGATGCCTTGGGAATTCTGCATTGTTTACATTTCGTTCAGTGGTTCAGTTTGCACACTGGTTCATGGGGTCAAATATAACCCAAGGAAAATTGCAACTTGCAGCAAGAGCGACATGAAACTTAACTGGAGGACAACCACAAAAAAAGCCTATTACTAGGTTCCCCAGGCAAGAAAATAAAGTGCTCAAATCTGCCAGAGTAAGACACAGAGTGAAATCAGCTAAGGAACCGATTAACCTAATCATAAACCAAGCATGTGGCAACTATACTGATAATTGCACTCCAGTGAGTCACTTATAATGCCATTACAGTGCACATTAGTCACCCCACTGCCCTACTTGCCCAAAATATACTGCACATTGCCAGTGTAACAGCTGTTCCCCGCTTTTTAGAAGTTATAAATGTTGTGGAAACAAAGAAGAATAAAGTATATACCTTCTTACATCTTGGTAGCCTGCTAGTAGCAGCTGAGTATTTCCTCTAACAAATAAATATGTATCCATGGAGAGCCTCCATTTTTACAGAGATTTAGGATTTTAAAAAAAAAATGTTTTCAAACACTAATTAGATTATTTTGGTTTCTGTTACCCAGTATCATCTTGCTGTGGCAGGAAGTATAGTGAAACTAATGAGAATAGCTCTATAGTAGGGAGAATGTTGGACATCCAAAGTACTCTCCATATCGGGAGATGTTTCTTGGTGAAGTCGCTGATGCGAAAATAAGACAGGGATCTAGAATCCTCAGAAACATGATATAAGGGCTTGCCTAATTCTGCAAGATATGTGAAGTAACTGTAAAATTTAATCTCCACCTGAAATGAGAGTCAAGTTTTGAAAATAAAAGTTCATTCATTCATCAACTGCTTCTTGTGGCCTCAACTATTACACACACTTTATCATACATGGGAGTTTCAAATGAATTAAGCAATGAAACATGGTCCTTTTTGTTAGGTCAGGAGAATGAGGAAGGAGAACAGATAGATGCTTTGTCTAGCGGGTTTCCATTGAGAAATAGATGGCATTAGGAGATGCTTTGTCTACAAGTAAGGAACAAATTGACCAGCAGGGAGGCTTCCAAGAAAGAACAGACGGCATGTGAGAGGGGCTTCCAAGGACTAAACAGATGTTTGTTCTAGGGGGTCTCCAAGGACTGACCAACCAGGAAGAGGTAGAAAGGCCACAAAGTAGAGATATGAGCAAGGCCACAAAAGAGGGTCTTTGGAGCATGCGTATATGTAAGGTGACAGTATCGTCAAGTGACCTACCATCATTAGCATCATAAAAATCACACCCATTTGCACCATGACAGTTTACAAATACCATGGCAACCCTCAGAAATTGTCTTACTAGGTTAAAAATGGGGACAATTCCCAGTTCGGGGAATTCTCCACCCCTTTCCAAGAAAATTCATGGATATTACACCTCCAACTTAACATATTAGGGATTGGCATAAAAAACAGACCCTAACCTTGGGATGACGCTGTTCCTCATTGGAGCAGTCAACTCTTTACTGACTTTGAGAGTATACTGTACTTTCTATATTTCCTGGACTCTGTCTTTAAAATCAGGGTCTCCTCCACTCATGAGAGTTGGGCTATTCCTTCTCTGGAATGTACTATGCTTTAGTAAACTTTGACACTTTTCTTGCTTGCATCGGCTTGATCTGCACATTTGCTCTGTCAAGTCGGCACCCGTTACCATTATTTGATATTAGGAACCAAGAACCAGGGAACACAGACCTCTGGTCCCCACATACCTGACACTGTTCTCAAGAACTTATAATTTAATGGCAATGATAAACGTGAGAATAAATAATGCAAAAAATGCAGCAGTATTTCAATGAAGTATGCACATAGTGTATCAAAGTCAAGTCTGCCTGCTGTAAATAGGAAGATTTCAGAAAACAGATGATATTTGAGCTGGATTTGAAGGAAAAGTATGGGTTTGACAGATGGAAAACAAAGGAGGACGAAGGTAACATTTTTCATGCAGTCATTTTATGGGACACCAAGAAACATGTATGTTTACACAATCTCATTTAGTCTTTGCATCAGTTGTCAGTGCTCACTCTTACTTGTCCCTTAGATTTTTCTCGGTTAACTGCCAATTACCAATTTTCATATCTACATGCCTGAAGTCTTTATTCCACAACCAGCAAAGACAATTCTTTTTAATTGAAGGGAATGAAAACTAAGCTGAAAACACTTGGGAGAGGGCATATGAATACTTCAGTTCCCTGTCCTTATTAATTTTAAGAGGTTTATTAATTATGAGATTTATTTTTTCACTAAATCTGTACAAGTTTCTGTTGCTGCTGTAACAAATTATACCAAATTTAATGGCTAAAAGCAACACACATTATCTTACAGTTCTGCAGTTCAGAAGTCCAAAATAGGTCTTACTGGGCTAAATTCAGAGTGTTGATAAGGCTGCATTCCGTCTGGTAGCTTTCCTTGTATTTTCTAGTTTCTAGAGGCTGCCTGCATTTCTTGGTTTATGATCGCAACACTCCTATCTAGGTTTCTATGATCATATTTGCAAGCATTTCCCTAAGAACTATCTTTGCTGGTTGTGGAATAAAGACTTCAGACATGTAGATACGAAAATTGGTAATTGGCAGTTAAGGCTACATTAAGGCTACAGTGGCAGCTAGCTTAAAAGCATAGTACTTATTACCAGGTTTCCCTTCCTATGTCACTTCCCTGTTTCCCTTCTGGTGTTCCTTACAAAATTAACTATTTGTACTAAAATCAAATAATCAAATTTTCTTACTTCTAGAAAAACCCAAACTGAGACAGAACTTATGTTTTGGGCAATATAAATTTCTTTGTAGTGATAAGGAAAGAAAATGAAGAGAGATTAAATAGTTTTCTCAAATTTTCATAGCTAGACATTGTAAAGCTAACTTTAAGCCATTTACTCCATTAGCACACCATTCTGTTTATTATTATTATAATAGATGTAGCAGTAGTAACAGTAATTGTGATGATACTACTAATAATTATTTATAAGCACAATTATTATAATAACAAAATCCCAAATCTAGCATCTGAACATATTATAACTCGTCAGAGGCCACAGGGTCCTTTCATATATATTATCTCATTTCAGGTTTGTGACAGGTGTATGATGTCACCAGATCCTCAAGTTTTCAGGGGGAAAAAAATCACATATATTCTGATAAAATATTTGGATTCACAGACACACAAGCACAAAACAGAACCCTGCCCTGCTCTGTTTTGTATTATTTTCAGAAAGAAATGCAGAATGCGTGGTAGCTTGTGGCAAATAATTAGGCTAGACGTATACACACGCATTGTGGCAGTGCAGCGAAAGGCCTTGTGCGTGCAATTAGTCCATATCTCAGACTGCCAATGTGTTTCTTGGGACATGGAAACTTCTCCCAACTTCCTCAGAATCTTTTAAATATTTGATATGTATCCTTGAGCCAGTTTCTAATGTCGAGGTTAAAATTAATAAGGCAAATCAAGTTAGACTCTATTCATGTTGGGACAAGATCACAATTTTAAAGAGTTTTTTAAAAAAAGAACTTGTGTCTTTTGGGTTTTTTTATAGCGGTTTGTGTTGGAACTTCCAGGGATCCCAGTTTAAATCCAGAAGTTAGACCACACAATTACTGAGATGCTTGTCTTATTCTGAATGTGTAAATAGAGACCACCCAGTACATTCAGTTTGGTCCCATATTCTTAAACCTAGGAAATGACTTACATGAAATAAACCACATCCCACAGAAGCCCGAAGACACTGCTTCTGTTTAATGTGCATTGGAATCACCTAGGGATCTGTCAAAATGCAGAGTCTAGTTCAGTAACCCTGGAGGGGCACTCAAATCTGCATTGGTGCTGCCCATTGCTGCTCATCCAGGGACTGTCCTTTCCATAGCAATGTCCCACAACATCAGCAAACATGGTATCTTGGTTCATAGCCCTTGTGTAATCTTCTCAAGTTTGCTCATAATGTATGTTTTACATTCAGAAGTCTTTCAGCTCATCCTGTGTAGAGGACTAGGTAAAAAAGAAAAATAAAAAAGATAGTGGTTAGAGGATAGAAAGTGTGCCTTCAAAGCAACCACCCCAAGTAAAGAGGAGCCTTTCTGTTTTTGCTCATCTTCAGGTATGTGCAAGTCAGAAAATAGCTGGGAACAGTCTAGGTCCTCCTGGCATCAGAATCCACCAAACATAACACAGTATGTAGGGTAGCCTAGAGCAGCCCCCGAGTCCCTCTGGTAATGTGTGTGCTGTTCCAATGCCTGGTCACCCTGCTTGGCATAAGAATTTCATTCACTGCAGTATCCTCATTCATTCACGTAAATGTTTAACGAGAGGGCTTACCGTGAGTGCTTCCCAGTAGGTCTGCTATATTGATTTAGTTCACAGCTAAATCTTCAACTCCTAGAGGGAAAAAATTCAGCCTTCCTGAAGCTCAGTTATACAGAGCCTGGCATATAACTAACACTAATTAAGCATGACATTCAAAGTTAACTCACTATTAGAAAATTATTTTCTTATAACCACCTCTCATGTGTACCCAACTGGTAACATTTTAGTGACCAAGAAGTAATAGCATCTTAACAGTACTTTTAGTATAAAAAAGATATAACAGTGGCCCCAATACAGTTATTATCATTTGACATGGGAAAAATTGTGCCCTATATATGTCATGTTGTTGTTTAGTTTTATGAGTTATCATACATGTAGAAAAGATTCTTTGCTACTTTACTAAAAAGTCCTGGTTTCCATAGTGAATACAGGCACTTAATAGGAAAACTGAAGTCTCTTTATGCAGATAACCTAATTATGGAAAATTTTTTAGGGTGGCTGTCAATAATATATAGTGCAAAATAGGAACAGATGGACCTTTAATCCAGAAACATCTGGCTGTGGGACCAAACATAAAAACCCAAAGACAGCCTCCATGCCTGGCCACTTTTAAAGCTTAATCTCTGGCCTTCTGACTTTGACTCCTTTCTCAACTGCTACTTTTGGCCTTTAAACTCCATACCTATAGCTTTCTCTGGACCTCTGAAACCTGACTCTCCTCAACTTCAACATCTAAAACACCTTCTCTTTGCTTTAACTAGTACTCTGTCTACACTCATTCCTTACTGCTAGTGAGCCAATCGTTTTTACATTCAGGCAGTTGTTTAAAAATAAGACAATCATTGTGCAACTTAACAGTGCGCACAGTAAGTATTCATGTACTCATCCCTTTGTCCAATGTTTATACAAAGTGTGCTATGTCCAAAATACTGTGATATGTTCTGTGAGGAATAGAAATATGCAGAAGATGTGGTCATTGCCATCAGTACACATAGTCTATTGGGTAGCTAAACTGAAACTGTTGACATATGTTGGTACAACGTTTGGGAGTTTGTTTTGAATATTTATTTTTTAATTTGTCATAATATAAAACTTGCATTAATAATTAAAATTTTAAAATAAATAAGAAGGACTTAGCAATTGCAACTGTCTTGAAGTAATAGTAATAGCTATCTTAGTAACTCTAGTAAAGTCTTCTGAGAGTTAATTTTCTTTCCAATGACTTTTTCACATCTCAGTCCTCATACATTATGTGTTGATTTTATAACATGACTTTCAGAGGACAAAAGCATTTTTCAAAGGTCTGTCTTATTTTTCTACTAACTTGACAAACTCTTCCTGAGGGATCACAGTAGTAGCTAACATTTACCGAGTTCTTTCCATGTGCCAGTCATTATTCTAGGCTTCATATGTGTTAACTCATTTATTAATGTATGGTAGGCTGCTGCAACCTTCTACATGCAAATGGTGACCAACTCAGACCACAATTCTATCTTTACACCTGCATTTCTGTGTCCTCACTAGGCCCTCAATCATATGGTGTCGAAAAGAGATTCATTATCTTCTCTGAAAGCTTGTCCCTCCTTCTTTAGAGCTATCTTGGGGAATGATTTCATCATTACTTAGCTGACCTATGACTCACTATAGCCCTCTTTCTCCTTCTCTAAGTCTGCATCCAGTTAATTGATCAGTAAATTCTATAGATTCTGATTATTAAAAGTCCCCTGAATCTGTCCTCCCATCATTCTCCCACCACAATGTCATACTGGGCCATATTAATAGTTCTATAAAAGTTTTCTTTGACTCCTATAGCATCCTTTTACTGCCAGAGTAATTTTCTAATGTATTTATGTCACCCTTTTGCTTGAAATTTTTCTGTCGTTCTCTATAAATTCAGGCATTCAAAATACAGTATCAGTCATGTCTATAACTTCATTATAGGACTCCAGGTATGAGACTTTATCTGTTTGTTGCTTTTGTCTTAGTTTCATATAAAAAAAATTCAACTCTAGAAAGCTCAAGATATGATTTGATAGTCAAGTACCAATAATTTTTAGGTTTGAATATTGTACAAAGTTAAAAGGATTATTTGGGTGATTCCCCCAATGTTTAGTGGATTTTCAGGATACCATCATAGTGTAGACCAGGGTTGGGGTACCTGCAGTCCTAAAGCCACATGTGGCCTTCTACGTCCTCAAGTATGGCCTTTTGACTAAATTCAAATTTACAGAACAAATCTTTTTATTATTATTAATACATTTTGTTCATCTTTTATATTTTTATTTTATTTTTAAAATTTGTGCATTTAAAATACCAAAGAATAAAATAAGTTTCCATAAAATAATCTTCCCAGAATGACACATTTAGAATACAATTCTATACACAATAATTTAGAGCACAATTAGAACATTAGTAAGCCAGAAGGGCTAAATTAACTTCTGCTATGTTCATAATTTAGCTCTAACTTCCCCTACCTGACTGGTGCCACTACAACATGAGGGTGATTGGCAAGAGTTATGGGGGTCAAGTACGCCAGTCTGTCTCAGCTTCTGACAATGATGTGCTGTGTTTCTGTTTGAAGTGGAATCATGAATAGTTGCATAGCTCGATAGTACTTTTTAATTCTGTCTCATTAATAGCCCATAATGTCAAAGAAGACAAAGAGAACAACAAAGGAGAAAAACAGATTTTTTAACAAGGATCGGGAATTGCAATATTATCATGTTTCTGCTAAAGATAAGATGGTTTGCTTGCTTTGTGATACTGCAATATCAACATTAAAGAAATTCAATGTTCATTAGCATTATAACACTCATAAGGACCACAAATATTTCAAAGTAGAGACAGAGGCATGAAAGTTTGTACTGTAGAAATTAAAAGATGAAAAGCAAAAGTAAAGACAATTCTTTCAAGCAGCAATAAGTCCTGGAAATAATACCACTGAAGCAACTTATAAAGTAGCTTGTATACTCAGGGGAAAAAAGGAAGCCATTCAATGATGTAGAAATTGCAAAACAATGCATTGTCGAAGTTTTAGGATGCTTAGACCTTGATAACATTTCAAAGTAGAAACAACTGCTTCTTTCAAGCAGAATCATAACTATTAGGAGCATCAGTTAGCCTTCAACTTAACAGAACAACTTCATACAATACTTCAAAAGGAAAATATATACTAGTTAATTGATTTCAATGAATCAACTGATACTACTGGCTTGGCACAGGTTTTATACTTCATTCAGGTCATAATAGAAGATTTCTTTGCTATAAAGAGTTACTTGCTTTGGGCACTCTTCTGAACAGAACACAGGAAACAGACATCTTTAACAACTTTCAAGATAAATGTCATTAAGTTAGACTTAATTTGGTAAATTTAGTGAGTGTATGTACAGACAATGCACTTTCCATGACAGGAAAACATGAAGGGTTTACTGCATACATAAAAGTATTAACAGATCAAAATGCTCTCATTTCATTGTATCTTACATCAGCACAATCTCTGTGCTAAAAGCACTATTTTAAGTTACGCTTGGCAACAAGTTATAAGTGTTGTTAACTATTTTCATGCAAATGCAACACAGCATAATCAATTTCATGACATGCTAAAGTTGAACCATGAGGTATTCAGTGTGGATTTGCCATATCATCCTAAAATGCATTGGCTATCGCCAGGACAGATGTTAGTCAAAATTTTATCTCCATAAGAATAGATAGTTAAATTTTATGAAGAATAGAATCAGCAATGTGAATTACTGAAAGAAGATTTCTATAGGAATGCAGCACTTCTGTGTGATATGATGTCGAATTAAAATGACTTGAATATTTCTTTGCAAATTAAAACTAAGCTGGTATATGATACGTGGCAAAAAATCCAAGCATTTTGAAAAAACCCTATCTTTTCTTTTTCTAAAATATTTCTTCTTCAAAAGGAACTTTCAGATGAACATTCTCCCTAGTTAGCAAAGGTCATTGATGAGCAGGATGATATATGCGAATCATTTGGAGAATATGGAGCTGTTATAGACCTATTAATTGGAGAATACAATGAAAGGTTCACTGACTTTGAGAATCATGACATTTCAGCCTCACCTAGTTGATATCACCAAGGCACCTAAAGAGCTACAGATAGAATTGACTGAATTGTCAGTAGATGACATTTTAAAGTCACTGTCTGATGCTAAGAAAGATCCAATTGAAATATGAAAAAATGCAATAGACAATACCCCCACCTTTGGTAACATGTCTGAAAAATATTTTCTTGTTTTTCAACCACTTATTGCTGTGAATGTACATTCTCCTACCTAACCCAAATCAAGACTCCTTTAATCACAAATGACTGATACCCATCTAGAGGATAACTGAAACTGTGGACTTCCATGCTGTAACCAAATATTCAAATGCTTTCCAACAAAAAGCAGATACAACAAAGTCATTAAAAGGTTAGTTAACTTTAAAATGAATAGTTTTCACTTTTTGAAATTATTAAGTACATAGTAGTTAGAGTTTCACAAAATAATGTACATTTTTAAGTATATAGCTCATTGAAGTTTATCGAATGAGGCCTTATTTGATTATAGCTAAATTAATGTGGCCTGCTCATATGAAAAGGTTCTCTAATTGGTGTAGATAAATTTAGTGACTTAATTTTCAGTTTTCTTTTTAAGACTAAATTATTTAAACTAGAAATCTATATGTTTAACATTAAGTACTAAAAGTTTAAACATTTGAAACCATAAAACAGTAAAAGTTAGCATCATCATGATAGAATTATGGCCATAAATTATCCATAAATGAATATATTATTATCAAATGATATTTAAGAAAATTGGCTCTATTATTCCAAATATTCAATTTTGCCAATATTCCCAACATTCCTATTGGCCTAAAAATAACATTTTAAGCTAAATTGTTCAATCATCTTTGGATTTTTTATGTAGTTCCAAAGAAGCTAAAGCAACAAAATGAGAAATTACTTTAAATTAGGAAATTCATTTTACTTCTCTTTCTGAATTATGAAATATATATATTGTGGTTTAGGTAAAAAAAAATAAAAAGAATAACTTGGATTGATATAT